GTTTTAGCCAATATACTTAATTAGCAAGGATATTTTAAGAATGACAACACTTATTTATTATAAATAACTAATTTAATTTACTTCCTTAATCTCCTCAAATAAGTCAACTGGATCTTATACTTAGGATCGGAGGAGTATATAATCTTCGTTGATACTAATCATCTTTAATTTTCCTTTCTTCTGGTGGTCTCAAAAAGGAAGTTAATGTGTCAGGTGTATATCCACTGCTGATAGCACAAACAAGATGATCAATTACCATGTCCGCACCTTTACACCACAAAAGCTGGTCATCGATCTCGCTGCAGTTGATAAGCCTGTTGAATTCAACAATACTATTCACCAATAAACATTTTCTTCACTTTTCTCAACGTTATCATCTTCTTAGGGTGTGTTTGGATGAAACCAAACCATGGTTTGAAAAAGTGATTCTGGAGAATAGATTCTGGGGAAAATAGATTCTGTGAAGAATAGATTTTGTAAAAAAGTGATTCTGAGAAGTGAGAGTGTTTGGATAATTGTTATCAGAAGCACTTTTTATATATACAAATTACTAAAAAAAAGACATAAGTTAATATGATAATTACAGAAAAAATAGATTTTATGATATATTTTAATTTGAAGGAATAAAATTGTTAATAATATGTTTTTTACCAACATAATTAATAATACATAAGATAATATAATTAATAAATAATTAATGTGTATATATATTTATAAAATATAAGATTAAATATATTTATAAAAAAATATGTTTATAAAAAAAATAACAAGATACATATCATATAGGCCCTCACACTCTCCTTTTTTCTCCAAAAGCAAAAAAATTTTGCTTTTTCCAAAACCATGGTTTTGGAGTCAAAACCATGGTTTTGACCCAAAACCATGGTTTTGGTTTTTGGAGAGGGTGTTTGGGTAGATTATTCCCCAAACCATGGTTTGGGTCCCCAAACCATGGTTTGGGGTGTCACCCAAACACACCCTTAGTTCCCATTTCAAAAGTAAATGAAGTGTCACTTTTTGTCAGCACTTCCCCTGGCGTCCATCATCCTGCTGCTATGCACCAGAAATTAAATCTCACGATTCCTTTTTGATGCTTTTTGCTGTTCTTAGTATAAAATCTGTTTAATTTGATTAGATTAAAAAAGTTATGTAAGTTGGTTAATTATAAAAAATATAACATGTTTTTTCTAAAATACCATAATTATTTTTTTTAATATCCTTCCTCTCTCACTTACTTGATTATGATTGAGAAAGTATCCATAGGAGTAATTAAAAAAAAATAATAAACATGAGAAATAGGTCTTATATTTAGGATCAAAATTAACTTAATAATTAGGTTTTATATTAAGGACCGAAGGAGTACAATAATTTCATAACAAAATTGCATAACATAATCAGATACAATAATATTGATAAAAAAAATCAGTAGAATACTGGTATTAAATATTAATTAAGGGTTAATATTCAATTTTGTCTAGAAGTTTTTTGGGATCAATATTGCGCTAGAAATGTTAAAAATATTAGGAAACGACAGCCGGCTAACCCAGTTGCAAAACAAAAACAAATTGCCCCAGAAAGGGTCATCACAGACAATTCTCCGTCAGATAAAAATCTTTGAATTTTTGGTGAGACCGGCAACTGATATTTTCTATGTCTTTAATGAGACGAAAACAACACTCCAAGGTCATGTTTCAAAATTTATATCATTCATTAAATTATATGAAATTTTGATAGGACTTCCTAATATAAGAGTATATGAATTGTAACTAGAGATTGAATAAAATTTATTATTTTCTTAAAATTTTATTAACGTAATTTTTATTGTGAAGCTTCGTTTAGTTTGCCGTGGAAGAACAAAGGGAGACTCAAGAAAGGCCTTAATTATTCTTTAGAAGTTACTTGTTTTAATCAAATGATTGAGAGCCTTGGTTGTTAAAAAATTTGCTAGATGATTACCTTCGAATGCTTTCAACAAAATAACTAAAGGTGTGAAAATAATATTCCAATAGGCTGTAAATTAGAAACAATTATTAATATCAATATATGAGATGATTTATCTGAAGAGGTATATTTTTTTAGACAAACAAGTCAATTTTATTAATTGAAAAAACAAATTACAATATTATTTTATACATAATACTGTTTAACAATTTTTAAGAAATTTTAACTTTAAAATAGTTAGTATATTTATTTTACGTTTATGAGATAATTGTTATGTGTCTGTTAAATTTAACAATTATTTTATCCTTTTTAAATTTAATACTCCTCCGATCTTTAATATATGACCCAATTATTGAGTTGGTCTTGGTCATAAATATAAGACCTATTTATTATATTTATCAATTTTATCTAAATTACTCCTATAGATATTCCCTCAACCATAATCAAGTAAAAGAGGAAGATGAGGTATTAAGAAAGATGGTTATGGTGTTTTAGGAAAAATGTGTCATATTTCTTATAATTAATTAATTTACCTAACTTCTTTAATTTAATCAAATTAATTAAATGGGTCTTATATTAAGGACCAGAGGAGTATTTCTATTGGCCTCTTGAATCTTTTTCGCGAGACTAACGTAATTAATCCAATTCGTGATCATAGCTCCAAGCATTATCATACGGTGCTTGCCTTTTGCCCCACACTGAGGGGAAAAAAATATTTAAAACAAAGCACAATATTTTTTCCTTGTAGAACGGTTTTTTGTTATTGAGAAAACAACAGGAAAAAACTCGTTAAAAATGTGCTATTATTACATGTAGTTTTGAAAAAAAAATTATAAAAATTTTTCTTGAAAAAAATAAAACAGAACATCTCTTTGATCTTTTGTTAATTTATTTCTATAAAATTAGAGAATATGTGGAGAAACATTTTTTTTATAAATACAAAAATTATCCTTTCTCCTTTCGTTTGATTGCTTTATATATATATATATATATATATATTAAAGGGAAAACCATATTGGAGGTACCTATACTTTTTTTCAATTTTCAATTTGGTACCTATGTGTTTTTTGTTCTTAACTAAATCTTTATTTTTCCTCTATTAACATCATTAATCCTTATGTAGAGACTAAAAATATCAATAGAACAAAGTTATAAGAGCTAATGTTGCTAAAAAGATAAAATTAAATGTTTAATTAAAAGGGAAAAAACACATAGGTACCAAATTAAAAATTGAGAGAAAGTATATGTACCTTCAATATGGTTTTCCCTATATTAAAATAATGATTCAAACAGATTTTTTTAATTTTTTATTTTCAAAACCGGGTCTGAAAAACTTGTTCTAAACTTTGAAAAAAGAGAATAAGATCAAACTGAATTTCGGAAGACTATGTAAAGACAAGAACAAAGGATTAATATATTTATTTTATATAAAGCCTGGACGATCACCTTGTTCGCCGGGACGAGCTTAAAAAAGTTGAAACACTTCAATTAATGCCAGGACGGCTTGTCGGAAAAACAAATGGACCTTTCGTAGGAACATCGGAAATGTCAGATGAGTCAAAAGTTCCAACCAATAACAAACGAAATATAAGAAAACAAAAGCTACAAGTTCACACATATACATCACTTTTCTAATTTCTATCTCACCTTTCTATTTTTAAGGGAAAATTTTTTTAAAAAATATCTTTCGAGTTTTAAAATCTCAAATCAGAAATAATTATGAAAATATGTTCTCATTTGTTTTTTAAATATTATGAATTAGTATTAAAGTATAATAAATAAGATTAATTTAAAATTTTAAAATTCAAAGATTTTTTTTTTGGTTAAAAAATTCTCTCTATTTTTACCCTCTTTTTCTTTGGTTTCATAGCCTTTTCATCATATCTCAAAGACTTATATATATTATGCTTCATAATATAAGTTATATATTTAGGTGTTATAAATTAACCCACTTATTAAGAAAAATCGATAAAAAGTTTATTTTTATTTAACTTTTTTAAAATTTTTTCCCTAAGTTTATGTGAAGTGTTTTTGTTTCAAATATTTGAATTATAGTTTATATTAGAGAGACTAATTATTATTATAATTATTATCCTATACGTACACGAAGCATCTGTCTACCCGTCTATTTATATTGAAGAGCATGCGCATTCTTAAGAAATAATATTGTTTTTTAAGATATTTTTCTGAATATAATGTTAACTATTTTTTTGTTTTTGGAGTAATATAGACTTAAGAATTAAGATTGTGAAACGCATGTATGTTTCATATTAAATTTGCGGTGAATCACGTTGCTTATAATAATTTATCAATAAATTTGTTTTATATAAATTTTTATGTTTTGGATAGAATATATCCGCATAAGTTGAAAATGAATAATTGTTGGCCAAAAAACAGTTGAAAATGAATCAAATAAAAAATATAAGGAAAACCAATCTGGTTTTTTTTTTTTGGCCTTACATCACCCATTCTTGACGTTTAAACTAATTTATTTTTAATACATGCATCTATTATTTAGTTATCAGATTCGATTAATTAAATGCTTTCCTAACCTTCTTGTTGTTATTACTTCTTCCTTCCAAACTCAATCTTATCTAAGAGCCCCCAGCCAAACCAAGCATAGTAATTACTCATCTGAGCTAATTTTTTATTTTGACTTAAAAAGAAAGCTATATATGTATCTGCATATGCTGCATCCAATTCTTAATATAAGACCGATATAATTAATTTATAAACACCAAAAAATTAGATAACTTAATTATTTGTGATAAATATATATTTCAAAATAATATTTTTTAATTATGTGTATTAGAATTACTGTTTAATTGAAGCCTCTTAGCTGGCCAAAAAAAAAGCCTCTTAGTATCTACAATTAATATGGATTCTTTAAAAAAGTTTATAAATTTAAAAAATAATTAAATTTTATATTTAGAATTAAATTTAATTTCTTATCTACCTCTATGTTTATCTAGGACGAGAGCTAATATTCGTTTAGTGAAAAATTTAGTACATATTGAAGCACAGACCAAGAGCACCAAGTCCACTCAATTCTACCAACAATGGCTTCCGATGCACCTTCCCTATCATTTCTTGTGCTAGCACTATGCATATTCATTGCTCAGGGGAAGGTGCACTCTGCTGCTGGCACCACCACCAGCATTACCGTGTGGCCCCAACCAAGACTTTTCAAATGGCCTTCACCTCAACAAGCCACTCTCCTCTCCCCTTCCTTCACCATCACCACCAACGTCCCTAGCCACATACACCTTGCCGCCGCCGTTAGCCGATACCTCCGCCTCATCCTCACCGAGCACCACCGTCCTCTTGTCCCTCCCTCCGCAGTTAATTTCTCCACCAACACCCTTCCTTTACAATCCCTCATCATCACCGTCGCTGAACTCACCGCTCCACTCCACCACGGCGTCGATGAGTCCTATTCTCTCACAATCCCTGCAACCGGACCAGCCAATCTCACTGCCGCGACGCCGTGGGGCGCCATCCGAGGCCTGGAGACGTTCTCGCAGCTCGTATGGGGAAATCCGACGCGCGTGGCGGTGGAAGTGTACGTCTGGGATGCGCCGATTTTCGCTCACAGAGGCGTTATGCTGGATACGTCGAGGAATTACTTTCCGGTGGAGGATATTCTGAGGATGATTTCGGCGATGAGTATGAACAAGATGAACGTGTTTCACTGGCACATTACGGACTCGCATTCTTTTCCGTTGGTGGTGCCTTCGGAACCAGATTTGGCCGATAAGGGGTCGTATGGCTCCGATATGCAGTATTCTCCAGCCGATGTTGGAAGGATTGTTCGATTTGGGCTTGATCATGGGGTTAGAGTTCTGCCTGAAATTGACTCACCTGGTTAGTATATCTAATTTGACGGGGTGCCCCCAATTTTTTTTTTTTAATCATTTTTTTCACCCGGATCAGTTCACATGCCTAACACTGAAAATTGGGCCGATAAAAATGGTAGTTTTGGGATCAGTGATCAGTGGTTTAATGGTCTGCGCACAATCATAGTTGAATTGGATTAAATTAATTAAAACATATAAAAATATTTATATATAATAATATTTAAATAAAAAGGATATTAGTTTACAAATAAATAGAATATCTTTGTATAAGGTGTTACTAAACTATTGTTTTAAAAATATTTTTTTACTACATATGAAATATGTATCTGAGAAGAGACTTATCATAATTTACATAAAAGGACTTTTTGCATATAACAAATGCCACTGGATCACATATAATTCAACAAAATCAGTTACTAAAACATGCATAGACACGATGAACTGCTTTTTTTTTTTTTTCCCCTTAAGTTAAGACGATATTTCTTTAGACTTGGTAAAAATATAAAGTCCAATGCGATTGACCTATTCAAAACTCTTAACACCCATTAGAAAGTAGTTCTTTGACTAGTTTGACTAACGGATCTGAGTTGGGTTTTAATAGCATGCATTCAAGTGACAGATATTTTTTATTCTTTTGAATATGAGGCTCCTTGCTAATAATTTTAAGACCACGAGCATCACTCTTTTTTTAAAAAAAAAAAAATTGAGAGTATGCAGGTATATCCTTACATAGCTCAAAAGCTTTCACTTTTTTTAAAATTAAAATTGAACAAAAATTATTTATGAAAACAAACATTTTATCCCAGTAGAACTATGAGATTATGTACTGAGTACCCGAGTCAGCTTATCCCTTTGTTTGCCCACCAAGTATGTAATCATCCTTTGTTAAAATCTGTACGATGAAATAAAAAATAGAAGAATTTGGTTTTGTCTGTATATAAATATGTAGTATGATCATGTTCTGATTGAAACTTTAAAGCTTTGACTTTGTGACAGGCCATAACCGTAGATCTCGTTATTTGGATGCAACTAATTGGGCTGATCTCTCCTACAACCTTGGGATCGGCCGAATATTACTCGTTAAAAACTCAACTGAGTAAGAACCCAAAAAAATGATTGAGATCCCCCAAAAACACCAAAAAGAAGTGGCTGGTTGATACAATTAGTTGTTCTATACTTCTCCTATGACATGAATGTTTAGAACCTTTGGATAAGTAACGTTTTCTGTTGGCATTCCAAAAGTATGCCGTTTTCCCCACATCAGCATAATTCAGCTTTATCAAACGGAAGTTTTGAATGAAGATTGAGACCGGTCATATCTTGTGTTTGATGTGTTTAACATTCGTATCTAACAGTTCAAATTATATTTTCTGAGTTGATGTGTTATTGTAAGTAGCGTTACTGGAAAGTCGGGCAGGGGATTGCCCAATTTTTTAAGTTTGAAGGTGCGCGCACAGAATGATGAGGACTAATAAATTATTCTACTCATAAGACCTTTTGATTATTAGTTAATTAACACTTCTTGTTTAATATTCTAGTTTGATGTTTACAACTTGGGGTCTGATGCTTTGAAATAACCTTTATTCTAATATAAAAGCATGCCCTTTTCACATAAGTCAGTGATGGTACTAGGTATCATGATCCATAAGGCTCGTATGCTTGAAAAACAAATCCCAATGTATTTGATATTTCTTTGACACTCGTGTATAGACATTTTATATTTTGGATGTATCATATTTGGGTCAGTATCCATCGAGGCAATGATGGTTACTGTTCAAAAGAAAATATGAATTGGCAGGCTGAACAGGATCTGTATCTATCGGGTCTCATTTTATGTCAATGTTCATTAATTTCAGATTACCATGATTACTGATTTAAAGAACCTCTGAATGGACAGGGCACACAGGATCTTGGGCATTGGCATATCCGGATATTGTAACATGTGCCAACATGTTCTGGATGCCGCCGGGTGGTGATGCGCTTGCTGCAGAACCTGGAACAGGACATTTAAATCCCTTAAATCCTAGGACCTACACTGTACTTAAGAATGTCATAAAGGATGTTACTTCATTATTTCCAGAACCATTCTATCATGGTGGTGCTGATGAGGTCATCCCAGCTTGCTGGAAAACCGATTCCACAATTCAAGCGTTCCTAGCCAACAATGGAACCTTCAACCAACTTCTTGAGACATTCATCAATTCTACTCTCCCTTATATCTTATCCCTCAACCGAACTGTGGTCTATTGGGAAGATGTTTTCCTATCCGACCGAGTTCATGTTCCATCCACAATGCTTCCTAAAGAAAATGTGATATTACAGACATGGAACAACGGACACGACAACACGAAGCGCCTTGTTTCTTCTGGATACCGAACCATTGTTTCGTCTGCAGATTTCTATTATCTGGACTGTGGACATGGGGATTTTGTTGGGAATGATTCCCGGTATGTTATTCAAAGTGGAGATCAAGGGCATGGAGGGTCCTGGTGTGGACCCTTCAAGACCTGGCAACTTATCTATAACTATGATATCACGTATGGTTTAAGTGAAGATGAGGCACAGCTGGTTCTTGGTGGGGAAGTGGCATTGTGGTCTGAACAAGCAGATCAAACTGTTTTGGATTCGAGAGTTTGGCCGAGAACATCAGCAATGGCTGAGTCGTTGTGGTCCGGCAACAGAGATGAGAAGGGTATGAGGAGATACGCAGAGGCCACAGATAGATTGAATGAGTGGAGATACAGAATGGTAAGAAGAGGTATAGGGGCGGAGCCAATTCAGCCCCTGTGGTGTGTTAGAAACCCTGGCATGTGTTACTATGCATGATGGACAGATAAACACTCACTGAAATCGGTGTCACTATAATTCACAGATTCAAAAACTTATTTTGATATTTTGTTGCTTCCTTGCCCAGCCAATGGGTAATCTACATCTCTTACTAATTCATTCCTCTATGAGAATGATGGATGTTGTCAGTTATACTTGTTTTAAATGTGATTGACTCTGATTTAAGTCATTGTTTATGTTCTTTCAAGAATTATTCTAAGCGATTGTTTTGTGTGAGGACAAATACTCTGTCTCAGATATTGGAAGATGGTGTCTGTGTCATTATCGATTCGATATTTCTTTTAAGTGTTCTTTTTTGTATCACTTGTGTCGAATGAAGTATGAATTTATTTCATTGTCCCCAAAATATTATGGGTTAGTTTCTGCACTATAGATGTTTGATTATCCAAAAACTGCATATGATATTACTGAGCATTACTTCATCACAACGACATCCAATGTTTAGCCGATTTCGTCTACTAAACTAGAGTTCTCATAATTTGTTTGGCCAAAGAGTTTTGATCAGATTGTGGGATTGTGTATTTTGAATGACTGATACAAAAGAGTAAGTTTACATGATATTTACGTTCGTCGTTTTCCCTTCATTTTATACCCGGTCCGAACAAAAAGACTGTACATATGATTCATATAAACCTTTGAAATCATATTATTTACAATAATATTTACATATTTAGAGATGTTCAGGCTATCCTAGGTTTTTTTTTTTTTTAAATGAGAAGTCACACTCACAGGTTCAATCATGCCTTTCCCTTGAAATAAAAAGAGATTTATCAATGACTCAAATGGAAAAACATAACAGAGGAGAAAGATGAAGCTGGATCCAATTGAACCTGTCTTATTTTTATGTTGGCTTTGGTGCCCCAGAAAGTCATGACATGGGCCTGCCAATCCGACCCATGAAACTCTTTTATTGTTGCGTGCATCTTAAAAAATCCATCTCACAACTAATGAGGTTTAGATCTAGCAGAAATGGCTAGTTTCTCACAATATAGTAAATTAAGGTTCAAACTTCTGGTAGAAGAAATATCCACATTTAGTGCCTAACAGTACTTCAAATAGGATTGTCTCTAATAAGAGGATACCTATGCTTATTAAAAAGAAAAAATCCACCTGACATGAGTTAGAGCTATAAAATATCCATTGAATTCGAGCCTGCAAAATTGATTATTTTTATAACTAAGAAAACAGATCTAGAACTAAAGTAATTGGTGAATCGGTTCCTAATTTTCAACAACCGGGCGAAACTTAAATGAGTCAACTTGTTCAATCCATAACCCACAGTAAGTTGGTCCATTTAATTCACTAAATCTGTATGTTTTGAGAGGTCACTGCCACGCAAGTCCCCATTAAAGCTTGAATCACTAGTATCCATATCTCACTGCTTACACCTCCTCATATCCAAATTTCTTTATGGTTTCTTTTAGTGTGTGGCAAGCAAGGCAATACAGACAATAATGCTGAAGAAGATGATGAGGATATATCACTCTCCCAACGGCGCCTATCATTCCAAAACTCCATTACTTCTCACTTAAGACTCTTCTTTGATTGTTTCTTTCTCTGTCCAGCTATATATAAATCCCTCCACTACGTAGAAAAACGATTCAAAGAAATCATCGCTTCTTCTTTCTTCTGTTATTAAAACCACGAATCTTTCTGTGTGTGTGGTTTTTCTGGTTCTGCTGCTAGCTGCTTCATCATCTTCTTGCGAAGCTGCAATTACGTGTGACCAAGCGACTGGGTATCTGAAGCCATGCCACGAGTACTTGACCGGGCCCAGTGGAGCGAAGCCGCTGCCGGCGTATTGTGACGGAGCCAAAGCTCTGGTATCGGCAGCGGCGACGCCGGAAGATAGGAAGACTGCCTGTGAATGCATCAAGGCTGCTGCTCAAACCATGCCAATTAATGCTCAAAACGCTCACGATCTTCCTGACAACTGTGGCATCTCTTTGCCCTTTGAGATTTCTCCCGACTTGGACTGCAACAAGTAGGTTTTAATTACTCACTTCTTAGTTTGATTTGTTCCATTTCCTTCTTTCTTGCCCCTTTCACTTCAATTATTGCTTAATATAATATAGGTTTGTTTGTGAGAAATTTAATTTAAAAGATTGATTTATAAACGCCAGCTAATGAGTTAAATCAAATATAAAATTTCAACCTGAGGAAGATAATTGATGATGCAATTCTGTATGTTGATTCAAGTTCAATTCATTCAATTATGTAAAAAAATAAAATTTGATATATTTACGATACATTCTGGAAAAAGTAAGACATATTTACATTTTCATGTGTACATACTACATAAAATCTGAAAAAGAAGTCATATCATTTGTTGTAATTTGTAACAAAGATATATGGGTCAACCTTTTAAGGTATGGTAACAAAGCTTCTGACATCTTTGAATTTACGTGTATATCTTTTGCAGGATTGGTCAGAGCCGAGCTGTGCAATGCAATATATTGAGAAGCTGAGACTTGGAAGCCACATATGTAGAAGGTTATCACTATATGTAGAGATACCTATACTTGTGATGAAAAAATAATAATGAAAAGTTAGAACTTACATGGTTTCTTTCCTCCGTTTTTTCATATTTTGGTCGGCACATGGCTTGGCAGTTTTAGTCAAAGAAGTTTCCAAATTTATACATAATACAACACGATCAAACTTAAAAAAATTTATCAATGAGGGTTGAAGTCTAACAGGAGGGATTAATATCTCATAATGTGATTAACTAAAGTTTAATTTCCTACTACAAGAGATATGAGTATTTATATTTAGTGTTTGACAGTATCTCAAATATACTTGTCTTCAACAACATGCTTGTGCTTATTTTTCTTAAAAAAAGTAAAAAACGTTATATAAAATTTTGTACTATATCACAGGTTTCCTTGATCAATTGAACAGGGTATACAAAATACACTTATGACACCCAAATTAAAGAAATGTGGGAAAATATTACATCCTAAATATACATAAGCTTGTTTCATATGATTTTGGTCACTTTGGCTATCAATTATAAAAATAATAAAAAACCATTTTCCCGTTTAACTATTCACTGAGGAGTCTAAACGAAACAATTACAGTCATTAAAAACGGTTTTCTTTGATCAGCATGGGAATCAAGGCCAGCCCTACAGGGCTAACGGGCTTAAAAGGGCCAGCCCTACAGGGCCGAAACTTAAAAAATATCTCAATTTGCTAGGCCCGGCCCTTAAGCTAACAGGCTCAGAGCCGGCCCGCGGGCTTTCGACCCGTTTAAGGAAAAAAATGATTATTTTTTTTTATATTTCTCATATTTTTTATCAAAAAAATTAAAATGAACCAATAAAATTGTTAATAAAAGACATAAATATGAATAAAATTAAGCCACAAATACAAAATATCATTATATATAAATATCCATCAACATCCAAGAACATCTAAAACATTTATTAACAAGATAACAACATCTAAAAGTTTCATCTATAGTGCAATTGTGCAATAGATAAACACTATTATTAATCTTTTGAAACTTTATCATCACTATAATCAATTATTCTTCTTCATAAGTATACTTTTCTTTCGTAACAAAAATATCAAGTTTTTCTTCTTTATAGGAATTTTACTTTTAAATTTTGCAATCTAGTTGTTATTTTACTTTGGTGTGAGAAACATTGTTGTTAAAACTCATAAATTTCTAATTCAAATTATAGAATCACAAGTTATATAAGTATAAAAATACTCTATTATCAAATATATATAGTTTAAAAATATCAACACATATGATATAAATCAAGTTATTATTAAAGTCCAAATTAACCCATTTTTTAAAAATTTAATTGGACAAATTATTATCTAAAACTAAATAAATCAAACCATTATGTGAAATTTAATTTTAAAATGATAATAATAACTAAATATCATTAACAATGTAAAAAATTAATAATATTAAAATTACACAAAAATATTTTTAAAAAATAAAAATAAAATAAAAGGGCCTAAACGGGCCGACCCTAGGCCCTGCAGGGTCGGTCCTTTTAAACCCTCAACCCTCCAGGGCCTGTTTTCTATTTGAGGGGAAAAATTTCAAGCCTGGCCCTTGTAATTTCAGGACTTAAAGGGGTCGGCCTGACAGGCTCAACCCATTTTTCCGGCTCTAATCAGCAAATCTATTTTGAGATCTAAATATTTAAAATGCAAACAATATAAAAAGCCTCATAATCGCAACTCTTTATCTTTGGTTCGTCTTGATATAAATGAGTTTTCAAGATGAATGATCATGGGCAACTAGGGTTTCTTCGAGGTCCACCAAAAGAGAAGTAGTTGGCCCAGTCATTAGATTGGCCAGTTTGGACGTTGTAACAGTTGGGCTGGTCAACCCGAGTGCGAATGTTATTAGGAGGCATAGTTTGGTTGTTGCCACTAACAACCTTAATATTCCAGAAAAAGCAAGCTTTGTCAGAACCTACTTGAGGAAAATGACCACTTCCCATTTGTGTTGTAGTGTGTTGGCCATTTGATTTAACACTTCACCTCCCCATCCTACTGTTGTTGCGCTCTCAGACAGAAGTGGGAATAGAGAAGCTGGCCAGTATTCCACGACTTCATCAGGCCCATATTGCAGCCACCAGTTTCCATTCTTTTGATCCTGCTCATCATTTTCAAAATCCTTATTCTCATCAAAAGAGCACAATACATCGTTGGCTAACAACATTACATTGCTTTTGGCCAAAAAAAAAAACACATACATGACATTGCTATATAAATAGGGATGTACTCCCTCCTGTCCTAAATATATGAACTAGTTAAGTGTTTATTCTAGTTTTAGATATGATATTTTAATTTATTTTATTTCTCAAATTTATAATTTTCCCTCAAACGATCCATATTCTATGCACATGTTAAGGGGGTTTCTATGGAGAAATAATTTCAATTCAAATGATTAAAGGGAATGTTTAAGAAAAATCAATGTATATTTTTTAGGGTTAACTAGTTTAACTAATTTTTTTAATTTTTGTAAAATATCGTAAAATGAATGTTGGAATGATGAATCTATTCGGTCTTAACTCAAGGATTTATATATGGGGTCTTTTCCACGAATATGTTTGTTCTTTTCCACAAATTAGTTACAAATCTGTAAGTGATATCGGAATTTTCCCATTTTTTGGACATCAAATCAATTAAATCAAGTCAACTCGATTTCGCAAAAGCCTAACAAACAGAATCAGTATACCTTCCAGACAAGGATGGTGATAGCATGTTGGGATTTGCTATCTCCATAGGCAGATAAGGGCTCTATGGCAGCTCCCACGACTACTTGATGGTCCACTTGAATAAAGCCAGAGCAAAGAAGATCATAACACCTACTAGCATTTTCACCTGAACCACCCTATCAAACGTAAAGTAATATCAAGAAATATTTAACAATAATGAAGAGAATGTATGCCTTGAATAAGAAATCAATAGAAACTGAACTCACCCTCCAAAATGTAAAAAATCTGGTGTTATTATCTCCATACAGCCGGGGATTGACCTGATTTTCGATATTTGGAAAAAACAGAATAACTTGAAATGTTTGCTTGATGTGATGACTTTCTATTCTTACATATCTTTTTAATTAATTTTTTACATAAATTAAAGAATATATACCTGCCAACCAGCTTGAATGCTATTATAACCTTTACTGATGTTATCGTTTAGAATTGAGATCTGAGAGTCACTAAATTCATTGTGCTCTTGAACATGGGGATTACAAACGGTTATAGTTGCCATGCCTCCATAATATTTATCTCTTTTTACATAGATTGCAGCAAACTGCATACCCAAGTTTGTCAAAGAAACATTAAAAATATACTCCTCCGATCCTAAATAATACAAGACCCTTATATATACTATATAAGGGTCTTATATTTAGGACCAAAGGAGTATTAAATAAGTACACCAGAAAAAAATCCCGAAACATGCTTATACATATAATGATAAAGGTGCTTCTGTTTGGAATGAAACTAACGCTTTCAATATTTTGGAAAAACTTGAGATGCACAGATGCAACAGAATACCTGGTATTTGGTTTGAGTTTCAAAAAATCCATATTGAGGGATGTTCTTGAGATTCTTCTTTCCAAATTGTTGGAAAGATTTTGCCCGCAATATATCTTCCTTTCTTATTCTTCTTATGGGAATGGTTTCTTCTGGGCAACTTCCACTCTGTTGCTATAATTGAGCAACAGGTTGTGATTTTGCAGACACTTCACTTTTCTCAAGCATACTCTTTTCAGGGTGAAAACTTGGTCTCATCTTCAATAGAATGAAATAATACTTCAAAATTGTGTGCAAAGAGAAAACTAAAATAAAGATGGGGTTTGTTTAATTTTACCTGAATTTTGTGATTTTTGAGCTTTGGGTCAGTAAAAGCTGGTTGGTTTGAAATATGAACACAATCGATTATATCTCCATCAGGGCTCTGACTTTTATAATTAACAACAAATGTTATTTCAAACAGTTATGATAAATAAATGTATAAAACATGCCAAGTTTCATCATTATCTAAGTATACATATTCAAGAAAGAAAATTAGGACGTGATTACTTAGTTAAATATGTTATAATCAATAACATGATCCACCATAGCTTAATACATAAGATTAAACCAGATATGTAATTCTTGTTTTTTTACCCATTGTCAAAGACAATGATGAGAAAACGATTCCGATAAAATAAGAGTCAAATACAGTAGTTACAAAAATCGTTTACCTTTATAGATTTAACAGGTAGTCTGTTCAACTTCTTCAAAAGCTTCTGAATCTCAAGATTGTGATAATTAGAACTACCATTCCTGTCTTGGTCTGCAGTCGTCATGGATATTGAAAACAGCAAGAAGAAAGCATAACACATTGCCTAACCTAGTCTTGGCTTCGTCTGATGTTGCTGCCATTGAAGGACCTTCGTCAGAATTCTCAAATCGATATGTTCAACGTTTGAAAGGTCAGGGATTTGAGATGTTCTCCATCATTCAAAAGTGAAATTATTTTTATGATTCGACGGGATTTAATTCATTTGCGAAAATGCCTCTAGTATCAATTAAGGATACGTTATAATAATATTTTAATAACCAATATCCATAAGAATCAATTCCATAATCTTGCCGGTCAAAAACATTACAATATATATGCCTCTATGTCACTATGTGGTTTACTGATAATATTTCATTTTTATTCTTTTTAAAATGGCACCGGTTGTTAAACTAACCGAATCAGGGTTTCAGGTCCGTCATTTTGGTTTTTGATTTTTTCCGTTTGTTCAGTTGGATCGTTGGTTTTTTTGTTTGTTGGGCTCGTTCCCTTCTTCTTGCAGTCATGGGCTTCCCTCTTCTGTTGGTTATTTTGAACCATGGAGAATGGTGATTGAATCTGGTGGGAATCAAATTAATGTACCTTTTATAGCAAGAAGTAACATATAATTTTGCGATTAAAATGTTTATAAATTTGAAAAAAGCTTGGCGGAAGCTTATTTTTAATCTTTTGACTTCATATAAGGCTTTATTTTGATTCCTTAATCTTAGAAAATACTCCTCCGGTCCTGACGATGGGACTTTTATAATAACCAAATTCAGTCTTCATGGTAAATTCATGAGGAGTTAACTTGAAGGTTCCGAGCCCAAAATAAAAAAAGGTTTCTGGCAAAAAAAAATTTAAAATTAGGCTATATATTATGATACTCATCCGGTCCTTAATATAAGACCCAATTGTTAAGTTGGTTTTGGTCCTAAATATAAGACCCATTTATCATATTTATCAATTTTCTCTAAATTAACGCTATGAATACTCCCTCAACCATAATCAAGTAGAAGAGTAAGAAAGAGTATTAAGAAAGATAATTATGGTATTTTAGGAAAAACATGTCATATTTTCTATAATTAATTAACTTATCTGACTTCCTTAGTCTAATCAAATTAGTTAAATGAGTTTTATATTAAGGACTGGAGGAGTACAATTTTTTCGAAACAAACCACATACTTAAATGTTCTAGACGGAATTCGAATATTCGTTGTATGGTTATCAACGAATTTAATGAACTTAAATGATGCATAAGAAAGACGATGTGCGGGAGGGACCAATACCGTATTATTCTCTGGGTATGTACGACGCACGTGAACCTTATTACAAACCTCCAAACTCCAATGATTGTTGTTGTCATATTTTGTCATTAATATTACTCTTTCTGTCCTTAATATAGAAACTAATTTGAAAGTTGATATTCATCTTATATATAAGAATTATTTTACATATTTATTAATTTTTTTTTCAAATTAACTCTGTTAATATTACTCTAACAATAATCAAGTAGGAGACAGAGAGGGAGAATTAATAAAGATGAGTAGGTTGTTTTAGAGAAAACAGATAATATTAATTAATTTAACTAAGATCCCTAATTTACTCAAATTAGTTAATTAAGTCTTATACCAAAGACCGGAAGAGTAATTAAATCCATATCCACATGCGCACGCATATGGAAAGTATCCAAATAATTACATTTTTCACAAAAACAAATCATTTTCAGCATGGATTTGATATTTCAAGAAGCATGTGTTCTGAAACAAATTCAAAGAACTAAAAAGATTGTGATATCAGTTATCATTTTTTATTCTCTAATATCTTTTGTTATTTGCTTTTAAACATTTCTATGTTTTTAGGTTTTTAATTAGTACATATTCTATATGGCGAATTATGTTAATTAGTTTATAAATTTTATTGATGGACTATAATTATGTCCTTGGTGGTTCGAATTCTTTGAATTTCAATTGTGTTTTTGGTGTGTTTTACGAATGAACACACACACACACACAGACACACACACCCCATATCCTATCCCGTACATATATCGTGTCTGTGCTTCAATTCTTGAATACCAACTTGAGGATTCTCACAGAGGTTCTGGTTTCATTTTCCTCATAATCAACGATGGCGGCAAAATATAGAGGTGGGAAGACTTGGCCACCGAATGTCTTGTTATGCTTCTTGTTGATCTCCGTATCTGTGACCATAGCAGACCAACACATGAAGGATGGTCATTACCATCAAAATCTTAAGATTCATAAGCTTTTGAAGAAATTGAATAGACCAGCTCATAAATCTATCAAGGTAGTCCAGTTCTTACCTGTTTAGGTTTTACAAATGTTAATTAATTTTGACTAAGATTTGTATTCAAATATATTGCTTTCATACTGAAAACAACATTTAATTTAATTTGTACTACTGAGTCAAAGCATATTACTTGTCCCTTTCGTTATTTTTGAACTTTATTCCAATTGATAATTATTTGGGTTATTCAAATCAGAGTCCTGATGGAGATATAATTGACCGTGAAATCAGCCAGCTTTTAGTGATCCCAAACTCATAAATGAGAAAATTAAGGTAAGGCAATATGTACCCTTCTATTTTCTAGCTTTCTCTCTTATTCACAAATTTAAAGCTGAATATTTAATTTTTTTGCTTAATTGATGATGAGACCGAGTTTTCACCCAGAAGGAAGCATGCTCAAAGAAAGTAGAGTAGTATCTTCAAAAAAGCCAAAGCCACCAATTGCTCAGTTATGGATGCAAAAAGGAAGTTGCACAGAAAGAACCATTCCTATGCGAGAAGGATAAGAAAAGAAGACATACTGAGGGCAAACCCTATCCAACAATACGGGAACAAAAATCAGAAGAGCATCCCAGAGTTTAAATCATTCCAAACTCAAGCTCAAAGCCAGGTATTAGCATTGCTACTTTTTACCCCCTAGAAGGCAATCAATTTATATGTTTATGTGCATGAACAAAGCTCTTTTGTTGGATTTTTTCTTTTTTACTTATTTAATTTAATATTCTTCTTGTCTTTTTTCTTTGACGAATTTGGATGGTCTAGTTTGCGGCAGTATGTACAGGGAGATAAATACTATGGAGGCAAAGCAACTATGAACGTTTGGAATCCCAATGTTCAAGAGCCTAATGAATTTAGTAACTCTAAAGTGTGGGTTCAAAATGGTGGTACCAGTAATTACGATGGCATTCATGTGGGTTGGAGGGCATGCTCTTTAATTTCTCAAGAAAAAGAAGAAAATTAATCATTTAATATTGTAATTTTGATTTAGTCACAATTCATCATTCATTAGTTCCTTGAAATTTAATTCAGTAAAACTCAGTCTCTCAAGTTTTAGCTATTGAATTGATTAGTCACTATACTTTTCAATTTGATCGTGACTCAATTAATCCTTCGAGGATAGGTTGATTTCCTTCAATGTAGGGACTGATTTGATTAATAGGTTTGAATTTAAGGGATTGGAAGCGTGTAAATTTCAACAATCAAATTATAATTGAGTCAACATTACAGGAAATAAATGATTATTTTTTCCGGAAAAAAAACACTTACTAAACTTATTTCAGAAAATATAATACTAAACTAAGTTTTAATTTCTCATGTGCTTACCTGCGATATACTCTTTTTTATTGGTTTGGAAAATCAGGTGAATCCAGAGCTGTCTGGAGATAATAACACAAGGCTTTTCACATTTTGGACACTAACTTAAACTTGAAATTTTAGTTTCTTTAAATCATAATCTTCAATATTGTTAATTTCACCATTTCATTTTACACTTGACTCGAGCTGATGCAGATAAACACACCGGATGCTATGATCTTCTTTGTTCTGGCTTTATTCAAGTTAACAATGAAATAGCCCTCGGAGACACCATAGAACCATTGTCTGTCTTTGGTGATAATAATTCCCAATATGAAATCACCATTCTTATCTGGAAGGCACCAACTTTTTGTCCAGACAGATCTACAGATACAAACACACTTTCTAAGAAATAGATTCCACAAAATGTTTAGATTTCCTATCATACTTATATATCTGGATCTCTCAATGCGAGGAGGGCACAAGAGAAGAAGAAAGAGATAGAAGTTTTGGTGGGCCTCACAACATGTGGGGCCTACCAAACCTCTCTTTTTTTCTCTACACCTGAACACCAGTTCCACCTGGAAAGGATCTCTATTTCCATTCATGGGAGGGACATACGTGAGTTTCCATTTAGTGAGACAAACATCTACTTCAGACACTAATTTGTCCACTTTAGTAAAACATTATTGATTTGATCGATTTATGTTTTGATGATGAGCAGGATCCGAAGAAAGGAGATTGGTGGATGTCTTATGGGAATGATACACGTGTGGGATACTGGCCAGCCTGTGTGTTCTCTCGCCTCTCTGAGAGGGCAACAAAGATAATGTCGGGAGGTGAAGTTGTGAACTCAGAATCTAATGGACAACACACCACAAGACAAATGGGAAGTGGCCATTTTCAAGAAGGTGGTTTTGGGAAAGCTAGCTTTTTCAAGGAAATTAGAATTGTTAATGGCAATAATCAAGCCATCCCTCCCAATGACATTCACACTTACACTGACCAATCCAACTGCTACAATGTCCAACTTGGTACTTCTGATAATTGGGGCAAGTACTTTTTTGGTGGTGCTAGGAGAAACCCTGATTGTCCATGATCTTTCGTCTTGAAAACTGATCAGATATGTCAAAAGGAAAAGGGCAGAAAAGTAACTTTACGTTGTTATTCTTAGAAGCTTTTTTAGTTTAGTTCTTTACTAATAACCAATGCCTCAAGTAAGCTTTTAACGCAGCAATAAGCCAAAGAACATCTAAAACAGAATCTGCAACACTTCTGTATACAGCCATAAGCTTATGTGTTTTACTGAGCAACTCTGTGATATATTTCCTCTGGGAAAGATGAAAACCACCCTCTGTGCGATGAAACTCAATGCCCAAGAAAAAGAGATAATTCACCCAAAAATTTCAATGAGAAGGAGGAGATCATTTGAGAAATAAGTTGCTGCACATCATTGCCATTACAGCCCATAAGTTATGCCTTTTAATTTCATTCAAAAGAAAACGTTATGCCTTTTAATGCACTTGTTTTGTCTCACTAAACTTTTTCTCACTCCACGAGTACTTCTTAGTTACTAGGTTAATTCAAAGAACTCAACATAATCAAAAGCAATTGATATAACTAAGGGACCAATACATAAGAAAGGAACATTTGATATAACTAAGGGAACAATAAAGAATTAAAGTCGCCTTCTTATTCGTACAAAAATCATGATTAGGAAAAAAGAAAACTAGCAATATAAATATCTGTATAATAATAGTCTCTCTCTCTCTCTCTCCCCCCCCCTTCTGTGTGTGTGTCTCTGTGTCTCTCTCAAGGGCAATCAGGATTTCTTCCTGGACCACCAAAATAGAAGTAGGCTCCGAGTTCATCATCAGAAGATGCCATTTTCACATTGTAGCAGTTGACATGGTCAGAGTAAGTGGCAACACCATTAGGAGGAGGCGCATATTGGTTTTTGCCATTCACAATTGCAATGTTCCTGAAATAACTTGCTCTCCCTTGAGCTTCCCCAGCAAAGTGTCCACTTCCCATTTGTGTTATGCTGTGTTTCCCATCTTCAGATGCTAAGTTTAACACTTCACCTCCCCACAGTATCGTTGTTGCCCCATCAGAGAGGCGTCCAAACAAAGACGACGGCCAATAGCCCACCACTGTATCTCTCCCATATTGCATCCACCAATCTCCATTGATTGGATCCTAAATATATATCAGATGGAACACATATATCAGATTCAATTATTCATCTGATATGAGGAAACAAACACGCTATATTTCAATGAGAATGATGATATTGGTGTAATCTGATATGAAGAGTTGGGTACCTTCCAAATAAGGATGGCTATATCAAATTGGGATTTAAGGTCGCCATAGACAGACAACGGTTGGATGGAGGCTTCCACAGCTACTCCATTGTTAAGATGAACAAAGCCAGAGCAAAGCATATCAAAACATCCCGTACTTTGACCTGAGTCTGCCTGTCATTTTGTCATATAAAATCAGTAAATTAGTTATATAATGATAATAACCAAGAGAATGGTTTAATGAAACTACAATCTGGGATGTGAATTAACAAAGCTGAACTCACTGTCCAAAATGTAAAAAGTCTGGTGTTATTATCTCCATATAGCTGTGGATTCACCTAATTTTCCAAATTAAGAAAACCAAGAAACAGAGAGAGGGAGAAAGAAACTCTGGTGAGCACATCAGAAATGAGAAGTTTCTTGGTTGATGATATGTAATATATTTGGATATAATCTTTTTGGAAAGAAGTTAAAGAATATATACCTGCCAGCCAGCTTGAATGCTATCGTAACCTTTGCTAGTATTACCATTTTGTATCCCCAGTTGAGAGTTACTAAATTCGTTATGCTTTTCAACTGTGGGTTCCCAAATGTTCATGGATGCCTTGCCTCCATAATACTTATCTCCCGTCGCATAAACTGTGGCAAACTAGAGGTTCCAAAATCATCAAAGAAACAACAGAAGAAAAATACGTTAGTAAGTAAACATAAAACTGAAGAAACTACATTAATTTACTTGTATTTACAAAAAAAAACAAGAGGTTGTTGTGTTTAAATTCAGAGATACACGCACAGTGGCAACAGTATATATACCTGGTGTTGAGCTTCAGTTTTAAAAGAATTAAACTCAGGAATGCTCTTGTGGTTCTTCTTCCCAAATCTTCGGATAGATTTTGCTCTTAAGATGTCTTCTTCTGTTATTCTTCTTATAGGAATGGTTCCTTCTGGGCAACTTCCACTTTGGTGGCAACTGAGAAATTGGCTTTTGCTTTGAAGATGATGCTTCATTTTCTTCAAACATCATTCCTTCTGGATGAAAACTTGGTCTCATCTTCATAAAATGGGAGATAATTAGCTTGTGAATGAGAGAAAATTTTGGTTCGGTGAAAAAGAAAAGAAACTTGAAGCAAACTATGCTACCTGAATTTTGTGATCCCTGAGCTTCGGATTCTGGAAAGCGCTGATTTAAAATATGAACGCAATCGATTATATCACCATCAGGGCTCTGATTTTGAAACACCAACGGTTAGCCCAATCAATGATAAAATATAGAATGGCAGAGAGCTGTTGTTTGTCAAATTGAAAATTCATTTAAAAAAAAAAATGACTTGTATGTATACCTTGATAGACTTAACAGCTGGTCTGTTCAACTGGTTCATAAGCTTCTGAATCTCAAGATTCAGAACAGAACCGCCATTCTTGTCTTGGTCTGATATCCCCATAGGTACAGAAAACAAGATGAAGCAGAATAAGACATAGTTCTTTACCCAGTAAGTCTTATAATATCCCGAGTTTGCCGCCATTGAAGGTGAGGAAATATAAAACAAGCTAAGCTAAGATAGCTCCTCTGTGAGAATGCTCGCGTCGGTGTTGGAGAATTGAAGGTTCACAAATTTATAGGACGCTAGTCTCTTGAATCTGAAGTCACTCTATGATTCGACCATAATTACTTACCAAAATGAGTTTAGCTACAAAAATAGGAAAGCAGTATTATTTCGGGAAACTTTTTAATATTATAATTATAAATAATTATAAGGATAAATTACGTCAGTCCCTTCTGAGGTTTGCTTATATTGATGAAATTTAATAATTTATTACCGTATCTCTTTTAATATTTGTTCATAAGAATAAATTACATTAAGCTTTATTGATATGTGGTCATTGTTAACCGTTACCTGACACAAATATAGAACAATAGTATCCAATATTTAATAATTACAAGATTTGGTAACTTAAAAGAAAATTAAAAAAATCTCACAAAAAGGATTGAAAATTACTAAATCCTAAATCAAGATTGTTTCCTATACTTTAACTAGTTTTGACTACACAGTCACTTGCACCAAACATCCAGTATTTAGTGATTTTCGAGTCTCTTTGTGAAACTTTTCCAAGAAAATATACCAATTAACGGAAAAAAAATCCACTATATGGGAATTTTTTTAGTTTGACCAGGGGTCCATTATTGAAGAACATCGCAGAGGAGAAGAATATCTTATCTTTCCCTTGTTCTTTTATTTTATCATTGAGAGCAGTACAACATGATTTTTTTTTAAAAAAAAACCTTATCTATTCCATTGATTTTCCCGAATTACCGATGCCTTTATATATTTTTTCCTTTCTCATTGACCTTTTTCAAATTGCCTTTTTTTTTAACCGTCAAAGTGATTTTTTTCCAACTTCAATTTTTCCTTTTTCTTTAAACAATTCATTATATTCTAATAGATGGAAGAATTTTATTAAAATCTGCGATGGCAAGACATGCAAGCATGTTAAGCCTTAAAATACAAATAACATAATCAATAATACACATTCACCTATATATTAATGCTGTATTATATTCTCATCCACAATGTACGAAGCATCTGAGACCAACCAAGAAGACCGAGAAAAATATCAAATATTTGATAGAAATTCTAATAAAACCTTATAACTACTATACAACATCAAGGGCAACTATGGTTTCTGCCAGGACCCCCATAATAGAAGAAAGTGCCCCATCGACGAGAAGAGCCGGTTTGGATAGAATGACAGTTGGAATTATCAGAGTAAGGCATAATGTTAGTAGGACGCACCAATTGATTTTTGCGATTAACAATTTTGATGTTGTTGAACTAGCTTGCTTTGCCATATCCTTCTCTAGGAAAATGCCCACTTCCCATTTGTGTTCTTGTGTGTTGTCCATCATATTCTGAGTTTATTATTTCACCTCCTCACTCCATCAATGATGCACCATCAGAGAGGTGTGTGAATATGGATGAAGGCCAATATCCCATAACTTTGTCCGCTCCATATTGCATCCACCAGTCTCCATTGAGTTTATCCTTTTTATTGTCAGCATCAAATCATTAACAAGCTATATTATTCACAAGCTATATACTCCTCCGATTTTAAATGTAGAAGCTAACATGGATTTGGTCTTAAGGATATAATACCCCAATTCACTGTCTCCAAAAGTCTCCAAATCATCTCTGTTAATAGTACTTATTGAGGGGATTTTCGTTAGAGGTAGTTTCTAATACAAATGATTAATTAAATGGTATTTTAAGAAACTAACACATTTCTAACAGATAACTAACTAAACTATTTTCTTTTTCAGTCTTTATAAATTAGTTATCAAGGTCCTACTTTTAGGATCGAAGGATCCATACAATATATTGAAAGTGGTACCTTCCATATGAGGATCTTGATTTCATATTGGGATTTAGCATTCCCATAGGAAGATAATGGCCAGATGGTGGATCCTACAGCTACTCCGGCATTGAGTTGAACAAAGCCAGAGCATAGGAGATTATAGCATCCAGTATCTCTATATGAATCAGTCTGTTGCATTGCAATAATAATTGTGTGATTTGGACAAACAAAATGTAGGTTGCAAATAAATTTGAACTTACAGTCCAATATGTGAATAGTCTGGTGCACGCTATTAGAAAAAAGACTTTTAACGTCACAAAATAACGGCGGTAAAGCAGAAAAACAACGTGGAAAAAAAGACGGTGGCATTTTTGTAAATAAGTTGAAGAGGCTTTCATTTTCCACGGCGGTTTTTAAGAAAACCGCCGCGATAATCTCCAAACAGTTCTGGACTCACCTAATTGTTTGAGTTTAAGAGAAATGGGGGATAATTAGATACAATTGATATATAGAGACATAACAGGGAGAAATATCGAAACATGTTTACGCATAAAATATATTGTACCATCCAACCAGCGCGCTTCAATAGTGTTGAGATTTTGACTATCATCATTATTTACGAACCACATTTGAGAGATACTAAATTCATCGTTTTGTTGAACATTAGACTTCCAAACGTTCATGGTCGCCCTCGCACCATAATATCTATCACCTCTCGCAAAAGCTATGGCATACTGAAAGGCAACAAAGCCATCAAAGCAACTAAAAATAGGGGGAAAAGTCATGAAATAAGCAAAACGAAACATAGAAATAAAATCTTGTCGTTTATTTGATAGAGGGCATAACACAAGTACACCTCATGGCCAACGTTTGGTGCTGTCGGAGGGATGTTCTTGAGATTTTTCTTTCCGAATTGTTGAACAGAACTTGCTCTCAATATGTCTTCTTCTCTTGTCCTTCTTATAGGAATGGTTCCCTCTGGACAAGTTCCATTTTGGTGCCATAATTGAGGAATTGGTGCTGATTTTGAAGACCCATTATTACTTTCTTTCATTATCATCCCTTCTGGGTAAGAATTTGGCCTCATCTAAAGCCAAATGAGAAATAATTGACTGTATCATCTAGCATCAAAATTCTGAATTAGAGGAATAGTAAAACACAAAAGGAAAATGTTCTTACCCGGATTTTGTGATTTTTAAGCTTTGGGTGATCAAAAGCTGGTTGTTTTAAAATATCAACACAATCAATTACATCTTCATCAGGACTCTGTATGTTTTAAGCACCCACCAAGTTCAAACACATAATTAAAAAGAAAATAATACTAGATGATTAAAAATTGGCTCAATATATAGCATTGAAGTTGCTACACACAAACACGCACACCTGAATAGATATAACAGCTGGTTTATTCAAATTCTTCAAAATCTGCTCAACGTCAAGCTTCTGAGTAGAACTAGCATTACTGTTTGGGGCACCAATGAAGGAGTCTGGGCTTGCCATGGTGATGGGTAGTAAAGAAAACAAGAAGAAAGAATAAAATATCAATTTGGACATCCAAGGCCTCTCGTTTCCCAATTTTAACGCCATTAATTATTGAATGTAAGAAATAAGAAGGAAGCACAAAACGAGAAGTCTCAAATGTTTTGCAAGAATTTATATGATGCTTCGTATTACCCCTTCTTAAATGTTACTCCTCCGGTCCTAAATGTAAGATCCTTATACACACTAGTATAAGGGTCTTATATTTAGGACCGGAGGAATAGATTACTTTCTTATCCTTTTTGTTACGAGATTTCGATGGCATGATGATGCATTATCCGGGTTAGAAAGAAACCGAACAACTCAAAGGTTGGTTTTTGAGGTTGCTTTTACTTGTAATAACCTCGCTAGTAATTTTAGTAAAACGGTAATAATGCTAGAGTTACCAAATATTAATTTTCCCTCTATTTTAAGTTTCTTGTCGCCCTATTCTAACAAAAAAGGGTCAATTTATACATTACATTGATAAAATGGTAGTTTTTTTTTTTGAGTGAGACTATAGGTTATCCTCCACGGGCAATCGAAGGGCTAACTTTTCTCTTTTTCTTTTTTCTTTTTTCAAGAAAAAAATCATAATCTGATATAAACATGATATTTGAAGTCAAATTTTAAATATAAACAACCAAATCAAATACATAAACGTATTTTAAATATAAAAAATCCAATAAAAAAAATCTACAGAAAGTTTCAAATATAAAGTCAAATGAAATCTCCTTTTCAAGTTTTGCATGCACCGTCAAAGGTCAAAACTTTATGAGCAGCAACACGTTCAAATTTGAAAAAGCTTTCTTGAGCTTCATGTTGCCTGAAATGTTAAACTACTGCGGCAATTATATGGGCAAGCGTTGACAATACTATTCATTAACGTCATATTAATACAAAAGCTTGGTAAAGTGCACAACGGGGTTGCTACTTGTAACGGTTTGTGGATTGGCCAGGGTTAGTATTTTGTTGACACAAACCCGCTTCAAGTGGGTTGACAAATTGGCCCACCAAACAATTACTTTTTTTAATAAATATTTTAAAATTCTTTTTTAATATTTCATATTCAAATTATCTTTTATATTTTTGTAAGGTTAAAGTATATTTTTAGTCTTCTAATTTTACACAAGATTTCATTTAGTCCCTTAACTTTAAAAAGTAAACTTTTAATCCTCTAACCTAAAAACTGTTAACAAAAAATGATGATATTAAGCTCTTGAATACTGGTAAAGTATTATTAAATGCTAACATATTAAATTTAATATTCAAAACAACCATGATTGTTACAAAAAAAAAATCATTTAAGACTAACAGTTTTGGGATTAAATGACTAAAAGTATACTTTTTAAAATTAAGGGACCAAATCGAAACCTTACATGAAGTTAAAGGACCAAATGTATACTTTAGCCTTTTCATAACATATATGTATGGTTAAACTAATCCGAAAGCTTACAAGTGTGTGTATATATATAATCTAGTTTATATGATTAGTTTATAAATATAAAAATAATAAATTAATAAAAAAAGTCAGAAATCAAACATGCAATTAAGTTTCTAACATAAAACACAGTTATATCTAAATTACGTGTTAAACAATAAAGTTTTCTATTAAAAGTAAAATAAAAAAATTGCAAAAAAACTGATTCTTCGATGTGTCATCTTGAGACAAAAGAAATAAAGTCCAAATACATTTTAAATAGTCATTAACTATAGCTAAAGCAATTGAAATGTGTTGTCATTTGAGGCTCTCTTCTTAGATTTAAAGGAAGACTTTATTCATTTTCCTTTATAAAAACTGTAATTACAGGCACCAAAAACTCTATTTTTTTAATCAAGACTAAGCCTGGAAAGACCAGAGGCTAAATCATTCTTAACTAACTAATTTTCACGTTTATATGAGCAAAATGCTTGTTCCATAACTAATTTTCCTAATTTTTACTATAAAACAATTATCAGAGATATTTGAGTCTAATTCAATAGTGTAGCAGTTAATATCATCACATCAAGGACTCTTGGGGGAATAATTAAAGGTACGAGTTTATCACTGCCAGGGGTGAAAACAGCTAGGCGGCCTGTTAGGGGCCTATGGTGCTGCCTTGCATTTAGCCTGGTCTGTTTCAAAATAGAAAAAAGGCCCAAACCTTTTTGATGACCTATTTAGCCTAATAAGTCAGGTCTAAGCTTTTTAAAAGCTTGTAACCTATTAGGCCTGGCCTGTTCATTTATCTTAATTTTAATTTTAATTTTATACTTATATATAGTCTTATTTCAAATTTTAATATATACTTAGTTAGAACTTGTTTTCAATAATATTAACTGTAATTAAAATTTAAAATATTACTTATGACATTAAAATTTAAATAAAATATAATAATAAAAAATAATTATTATGTTTTATGTATATTTTACTTTTTTTATTGGTCTATGCATTTTTTATTATGCATTTTTGAAATTTTTAAAATTACAGGTTTTTTTAATAGGCTCAAATTAGGCCAGGCCTTTATACATGCCAGACTCAGACTGGGGGAAAAAACCTATAATAGGTCACAGGCTAGGCTTAGGTCAGCTTTTTACTAAATACTAAATAGTCCTGGCCTGATAAAGACAAAGTTTGGCTTGTTTTCACCCTTAATCACTACGCAGATGCTTGGAATTTGATTTTTTGCACAAGGGACTCGTACTACCGTATCCCTAGGTTTAAATCCTTGACATTTTGAGGAGGATTGGTTCATCTTCTCTGGTCGGATAGGAGTCATAAACATTTAATATATACTCTTTTCCAGACATTTCGACCCATTGTTCTTCATTGTTGATCGATATATGGTGATAATTTAGTTACTGTATTTATCTTGCTAGCTGGTTAAAGTCCTTTAGATTACATCTGAATGTTCACATATTGTCGTAGAGCTTCCTCCGTGTTTCTGGCCGCAGAAAAGCACGACTATTGATTTTCTCGTGAGGTGCATTTCGGTTCACTGGAACAGAAATTGTCAAACAACGTCAATGATTACAAACTTAAATGGATCTATAAATTGTAATACCTTTTCGTTCAACCCTTTTGAAGTTCACCGATGTGCAATGTGCCACATAAGACAATTTCTGGAAATACGTTTATAATCTTAGGTAATGTGCTATACTTTGAAGTTGGTATACTACGAGATACTCTTATAAAATAAAAGATAAGAAGGGGGAAAAAAACGCGAGGAGGAGGATAACAAATATAATATCTCATTGATAGGTACAGAAATGCGTCGTACAGATGAAAGGCAAAACAGCCAATATTCCCTTATTAGTGATATATATGAAGAGGCATAGTCACAAACTGGACTACCTTTATAGTTTATTCGGTGGGAACATACTTATTGATATAACTATGAAGAAGAAGTGGTCCGCCAACTTGGGGAAGGGAGACAACCTTGTTGTTGGGACCAACAAAGAGGTAGAGACGGTTGCAGCAGAAGTCATGAGACACAGGTTGGCCTTGCTGAACCCTAACCACACTCACCAATGGGTTGGTTTTGTTGATTACGCTAATTGCCGCGTCAGCATCCTTTCCCACCATTTCTGGCCAGCTTACTCTGTACCCTTTTTCACTCACCACAACCAAATAATAATCATATCTTGCTCATCCACTTTTTACCTCTAAAAAAATTCAGATATTTAAAGCTTCTGATATATTTATGTTCAAGGGGGTATGACTATCATATATAATTTCCAAAACTTACTTTGATCGGACATAGCTTGATTGGCTATGATTTTTGTTAGAATTAAATTCTTTTTTTTTTGGGACAAAACAAAAGTGGTTTTGATCGCTGAAGTTGATTATTGTGTATTAATATTAACTAATGAAGAATATATATAGTTAGAGAGAAAAAGAGACGATACCATGAGCACAGCATGTTGGATCAGTACAGCCACCAGTGACGCAAGGAGGATGGGCTCCAGACATGGCTCTTCCTTTTTCTCTCCCACTTCTTTCTCTGTGTCTGTGTTTTTGGATCACTTCTTTGAAACTTGCGAATTGTTGGTTCTTATACACACACACTTTCAGCCGCGGCTCATAAATAATGTGAATCCATGCTTATTACGTACGGATGACCATACTCTGTTCCCCAGGAACCTCCTGTAATGATTATTCTATATATAATACGAACACAATGTACAATACTATCATGCATGAATATAGTAATAAAATTTATAATAAATTACCACACTATTTACGGATTATAAATTGTAAGGTTCATTTCTCATATCTCGATCTCTATAATTAGAATGATTTTATGAATCTCCTTTATACTCAAGAAAATATTACTACACGTTAAAATAATTTATCATTTTAAAATCAACTACTGTTGTTTTTTTTTCTTTTGCCAACAATCAACTACTATTGTTGGATCATCATCTAATAAAAGAGGTCATGTACATGCAGATAAAAGGTGAATACGTTTCCTTTGGTCCACTCCAGTGAATGGCTCAAATATTGATTCATGTATATCCATTACTCGTCATTAAGTGAGATAGGTATGTTCAAAGTACAAATTGAGAAATGTGAATAACTTAAACATTGATTCTCACTTATATGACAGTACTACATTTGAAAGGAATTAATCTTCGGTTGTTTTTTGTCTGGCAAAAATGTGAGCACATCTCCCAATAGACTTCGAATCTTGGTTTCCACATTGTGAGAGACTAATCCATTTTGCTAGACTTAGTCTTTGCTGGTGTTAATCCTTAGCTCTTGATTGGGGAATGTCTTGGTACACACAAAAAACAGTATTCCAAAGTTGATAACACTTTGACCCAAAAAACACTTGATAGCATATATATATATAAGATCTTAAATATAAGATCCTTTTTGTATTGTAAATTTATACTACAAAAGGAGTCTTATATTTAGGACTGGAGGAGTATATATTATGAGTTATACTTGTTACTCCCTTTGGTTCAAAATATAAGCTAAACTTTCTTAAAAGGGTTGGTTTTTTTTAAAAGATAATATTCACTTTGGTCCAAGCATTTAATGAGTTTTTTCCAATTTTACCCCCATATATTCTCTTTCCTCTTTAATTCATTTATTACATCTTTTATTTATTATCTTCATTAATAAGGGTATATTAGAAAAAACAAATATATGCCTTACACATTTATTGTTTTAAATTGATTTTAATTAGTTTCTTGAGAAATTTAATGGATAAAGTTTAGCTTATATTTTGAACCACGGGAAGTATAACTTAACAGGCACTAATAAAATTAAAAAGTGGTGAAAGTTAATGCTTATTATTTAAGGGTTAACTTTTCTCTTTTTTTAAGGCAAAAATCAGAATCTGATTAAACATAATATACGAAATCAAATTTCAAATATACAAAGCCAAATCAAATCTATAAAAATATCGTAAATATACAAAATCAAATGAAAAACCTGTAAACAAATTTCAAAATATAAAATCAAATCAAATCTCATTTTCTACATACACCGTCATCAAAACTATTGTATGAGCAGCCACGCGCTCAAATTGAAAAATTTTTTAAGCAAATCTTGAGCTTGTTGTTGCCTAAAATGTTCAAGCAAATCTTTTTTAATCATTACCATAAAATATATAAAAAGATTAATGAACTTTCCTTATTGTAACAAAAATAAGTCATATTGGGAGAGATGCTGACATTTAGTACCCGATGATGCTTCAAATAGAATTGCCTCCAATAGAAAGATACTTATGTGTAGCCCAAAAAAAAAAGAATAATGTCAATAGAAAAAAAAATTAATGAATGTTAAATGTTTAAAGATATATTATTTTTTTAAGTTTTTAAATTTTTTGGTAATTTAGCTGGGCTGCCTCATTCTGATCCTATAAATTAAAGAGTCAAGTTTCAATTTTCAATTCGCCAAACTAATTGAGGTGAGTTAAATGAATATCCGTTTATATTTTGACATATCTATTCTATTTAAGATGCAAATTAAAATAACTCCCCTTGTAAGTGAGAGATTGTAGGATTAATCTCAGTTATAATCTCATGCAATTAGTGCCTATCCTTAGCTTTTAATTCAAAATAAAAATATGAAAAATTTATAATAATATACTACCTCCAGTCTTAAATATAAGAGCTAGTTAATTAATTAAAATATATTAAGAAAATAAATTAAGTTAGTTATTTATAATAAATAGGTGTTGTCTTTTCTAAAATATCCTTACTAATCAAGTTTATTGGTTAGAACTACTATTATTAGAAGAACTATATTAAGGAGAAATAGATAAACATGAGAGACAAATTGGATTGGCGTTTTATATTTAAGACCAAAATAAAAATTAAATGAGGTCTTATATTAAAAACCGGAGGTAGTATGTTACAAAGCTCTTATAAAGTTCAGCTTTTAGAAAGTTCAAATGAAAACATATTCAAGACACATTTTTCTGTTTTCTCATCCATCCTTATTTGAGAATTGTAGTGGAGGAAAGATAACATACTAATATAAACATATAAGATAATATTAATTGAGGACAAAGGGATCGATCATGGGCAATTAGGGTTTCTTCCAGGTCCGCCATAAAAGAAGAAGTTGCCCCAATCATCATTATGATCAGTTCGGAGATCATAGCAATTGGGATGATGAACGTAAGGGACCAAGTTACCAGCAGGCACGAGTTGGTTTTGGCCGTTAATATACTTAATGTTGATGAAGTAGCCAGCTTTCCCTTGACCTTCTGAAGGAAAATGGCCACTTCCCATTTGCGTTGTGCTGTGCTGGCCTTCTGATTCTGAGTTTACTACTTCACCTCCCAACTGTATCGCTGTTGAACTATCAGATAAGTGTGAGAACAAAGACGAAGGCCAATATCCCATGACTTTATCTTCACCATATTGCATCCACCAGTCTCCGTTGCTCACATCCTGCTCATTAATACAATCAAATATATATCTCAATTTTCAAACTAAACAAGACATCTTCACACATGCTGATTTGATGATCTACAAGAATAAATAGTGGTTTAGCTACCGTTTACCAAAAAGATTGAGTTATATTACTTTGAAAAATCATAGTGCTGTCCCAATTAAGTAATCTAATCACTAAAAAGTACCTTCCAGATCATGATGGTGATACCATATTGGGAATTAGCGTCACCATAGACAGATAATGGTGTGATGCGACTTCCCACAGCTATTCCAGCATCAAGTTGAACAAACCCAGAACAAAGAAGGTCATAACATCCGGTGCTTTTATATGAATCACTCTGTCAGTGTCACATATTAAAAAAAAATTGAGAATCAAAATGAAAAAAAGAAAATGATTGCAAGAATGTGCGCGCGCGTGTAATTGCTAAGGAGCTTGAGCTCACAGTCCAGTAGGTGAACAGTCTGGTCGCGTTATCCCCATATAGTTGTGGGTGCACCTAATTGGCCAATAGCGAAATAGAGAATGAGATCGATAGGAAGTAAACTAAATAAGAAGAATTATTCTTAAGGACCGAATTCACAAATCTTTTATTTCTAATGATAAGAACTCATTGTTCCACTTGTCAATTTTTATTAATTGTTTAAGTTGTAAATGGTATTAAATATCTTTCTAGTTTTAAATTTAGGTTATATAAATGGTAAATACTCCTAATTTGACCTGTAAATTTGTGTAATGTGAATGATAAATTTGAGGGCTTTTAAGTATTTAACTTTTGAATTTGGTAGTGTTAATGCTGATACTTCGGAATATTTAAAAATTTTTTAGATAAAATATAGAGATCAAGAATAAATAACAGAGTCAAATGAAAATTTTGAAAATATTATTGCTAGATGCCTTGGTGTAATCTTGGCATTGTGATAATAAATAATATGAATGAATCTTCATCACTCACACACACACACACACACACATATATATATGTACACGCACACGCACTTAAATAAGCACGAGAAAGTCAAAAGCGAGTTTTATATGTATTTTTTTTCATCACGAATTATTTTACATTTTTGTTGTGCGAAAGAATTACAGAATATGTACCTGCCAGCCAGCTTCAATAGTGTTAAGATTGTTACTGTCAGCATCACTTATAACCCAAATTTGAGAGATACTATACTCATCCTTTTGAACAGCAGGCTGCCACACGCTCATAGTTGCTTTCCCTCCATAATATTTTTCTCCTTTCACAAAAACTGAAGCATACTTTATCCTCCAAAACCATCAAAGAGTGAAATTAGAGAAAGATAGAAGGAAAAAGTTTAGCGGTGGGTCCCACAATTCTACAGTGTGAGCTCAAAGAATACTCGCACATACATGTTATATCCGTGTGATATAAGGCAAGTTCTTAATTACCAACTAAAGCAAATTTTGTTGGTGACTTACACCAAATTTCGTAGATATGTGGATTTGGGCTATATATATATATATATATATATTGATAAGCTAAACAAAACTAAAAAGCTTGTTTATATAGGTAGAGTGAGGGACAACATAAATACCTCGTGGCCACCTTGACGAGCAACATGTGAACGAAGAGGGACAGTTTTGAGATTCTTCTTCCCAAATTGTTGGATAGAGCTTGCCCTCAGGATGTCCTCCTTTCTTGTTCTTCTTATAGGAATGGTTCTATTTGGGCAACTTCCAACCTGGTGCCATGGCTGAACAATTGGCTTCGACTTTGAAGACATTTTGCGTTCTATCTTTACTTCAGGTCGGAAAGTTGGCCTCATCTTCAATCAAATGAAAAATGATGAGTCGGCATCAGAATATTCTGATTAGTAAGAAGCCAAACTAAGGGTTGGAGGAATCTCAATAAAGTAATCTGGTTCACCTTAATTTTGTGATTTTTGAGTTTCGGGTGATCAAAAGCTGGTTGATTCAGGATTGAGACGCAGTCGATTATGTCTCCATCAGGACTCTGGTTTTAGCAAATATCATAAATGTTCAACACAAAGAATCATAGATTTTAAAATCCTCAAATAATTTTCAAATTTTCAGTAAGACAAGGAAAAATAACCTGCTGATAAAAAACGTGAAGATGAATATACTGTCTATATATACCTTTATAGACTTGACGGCTGGTTTATTCAATTTCCTCAAAAGCTTATCAACCTCAAGCTTCTGACTAGAAGTAGCTTCCTGGCCATTGTTGACTGTGTCTTGACCTTCGTTCATGTGTACAGACAACAAGAAGAAGCACAACACCACATTGGCCGGCCAAGTCTTCCCATTTCCTAATTTTGCTGCCATTGAAGATGAGAGATATGAAACAATCGACTATATGAAAATGCTCAAGTGGATGTTCAAAACTTGATGTTACGGAAATTTATGGGATGATTTGTACTATAAGAATCTGATATGATTTTGTTGTGCTTGATCTTGTGGCAAGATTATCCTGAGAAATTGAATCCGGATGTAACAATGGCAACAAGACAGACAAAGAAAAATATTAATGCTGTAATCTATAAGATTCATTTACCCTGCTTGGTATAATATGGGCCCATGTTTCTTATTTCCCGGAAAAAAAGAAATACATGTATAATTTTTATTATATTCCCCTTTTCACTCTTAATTCTGTTTCTTAATATGTTAGCCTTTCAACTAGTGTGGATCAACATAATGCAGAAATTTAAAAATGAGTCATACTATTTATGATTGAAGCTTTTAGAGATTTAAATTTTTATGTTACAGATATTGGTTCTTGCGTACCAAATAATGATGAGTGTACAGGGCTCTTAACCTGAGATCCAATGCCTAATAATTGACCGCCTTTTAAATTCTACGATTTCTTTCTCTTATTAGTATAACTTGAAAATGAAAAATTTAAACTTTTTTCTTACCTTTGCTAAAAGAAGAAAAAAATAGCCATGATAGGGGGGGAAAGAAAAAAATATCTATATTAATTGATTACTTATCCAATGTTTTTTTTTTGTTTTTTAACGTTTTAGACTAAAAATTCTAGACAGATTCAACAATTTGCATTTCTTAATACTAAAAAAATTGCACAAAATATATTTTATCCAAACGTACCCTAATTCTAACTTTTCCTAGCGTTCTAACCTTTTTTCGGAGATTAATATTGGGTGAAAAATACTCTGTAAACTGAGACAAAGCATGAGTTCACAACATTGCCATCACCATTCATCACCGCCATCACCATTCATCACCAACAATACATACTAAATTTATATTCAAACATAGTACTCCTCTGGTCCTTAATACATGACCTAATTATTGAATTGATTTTGGTCCTAAATATAAGATCTATTTCTCATATTTATCAATTTTTCCTTCATTACCCATATGAATACTCTCTCAACTATAATCAAGTAGAAAAGGAGAGAGGATATTAAGGAAGATAATTATGGTGTTTTAGGAAAAATATGTCATATTTCTTATAATTAACTAACTTACCTACCTTCCTTAATCTAATCAAACTAGTTAAATATGTTTTATATTAAAGACAAGAGGAGTATAACAACATCTTGTTCGATCTGTCAAAATATCTCAATATTGAAGCTAAGATGATCCTGGGCAATTAGGGTTTCTCCATGGACCACCATAATAGAAGTGACTATCCCAAACATTATCAGAATAGCCAGGTTGGAGTACATTGTAGCAATTGGAACGGTCAGCGTAAGACACAACGTTATTAGAAGTCACCATTTGGTTGTTACCATTAACAAATTTAATATCCTTGAAATAACTAACTTTTCCCTGCAAAATGCCCAACTTCCCATTTGTGTTGTTGTGTGCTGTCAATTAGTTCCTGAGTTTCCTACTTCACCTCCCCACTCTATCACTGTTGCACTGTCTGATAGACTTGAGAACAAAGAGGAAGGCCAATATCCCACAATTTGATCAGTGCCATGTCGCATCCCCCAGTCTCCATCGCCTTTATCCTGTTCATTAATTATCACAATTATTAATTACTATCTCTGTTTCAAATACAAGGCACTTTCTGAGTTCTACATTTCAATATGTGAGGCATTTTACAAAATTCTGAGGAAAAATAATATTCCATTTAGTCCTTGATATACGAGTTATTTGACTGATTTGAATATATTAAGAAAGTTGGATTAATTAATTAATTATAGCAAATATAACATGATCTCCATAAAATACCCTTGTGAAACACTATATCACTATATCAGTTTATAAGTAAATTAGCTTGTAGAAAAATAATAAATATGAGCAACAAAATAAATTGAGGTCTTGTATTTAGAATCAAATTCAATCTCCAACCAGCTCTTATATACATTAGGGAATGGATGGAGTATCTTTTTATCTTGACTTTCAAGAGGAGTATATCAAAATTACTTGCTTCCTATTTAATACAAATAATTAATAATTGGCATTATGTAAAATGATATAACTTCCAGATGGTAATGGTGATTTGATACTGGGAATTAGTGTCATTGTATAGGGATAAGGGCGTGATGCTACTTCCCAAAGCTACTGCAGAGTAAACTTGAACAAAGCCAGAACAAAGAAGATCATGGCATCCCGTGTTCTTACTTGAATCACTCTGTCATATATACAGAGGTAAATGAGAGAAATTTCTAAGGACTAAGAAAAATATCTGAACTAACAAATCAAACATGTAGGGCTGTTACGAAAAGTTGAACTCACAGTTCAAAATGTGAAAAGCCTGGTGTGATTATCCCCATATAGCTGTGGATTCACCTAAATATCCACACAAAAGCATGAGAAGTCAAAAAATGTTTTATTTTATATGTTAGTATTTTCTTATTATTAATTTAATTATTTTTGTTCAATCTTCAGTTTAAAAATACAAAGAATACCTGCCAACCAGCTTCAATAACTTCGATATTTTCAGGATCAGCATCACTTCCAACCCAAGTTGCAGAGAGACTATATTCTTGGGATTGTTCAACATTAGTATTCCAAACGTTCATGGCTCCCTTGCCTCCATAATATTTATCTCCTTTAATAAATACTGAGGCATACTGGAAACTCCAAAAGCATCAAAGAAACAAGAAAAATACATCAAACAAAGCAAAACGAAACACAAAATCTAAAGCCTCTCTCATTTTGGGTTGTGTGTGTGTGTAGGGACAATACAAGTACGTATCTCGTATCCGATCCCCCTTGACCTCCGACATTTGGGGTTAAGGGTAGTACGACGTTCTTGAGATTCTTCTTCCCGAATTGTTGCATGGGGCTTGCTCTCAGTATGTCCTCTTCTCTTGTTCTTCTTATCAGAATAGTACTGAAGTAATTGCCCTTAATTTGTCGCTTTGAGGTTACTCCAAAAATTAACCGAATTAATGCAATATAGTGCACAATCCGAGTTGTATTCACTTTGAGGAGCCGAAAATGAAATTAAATCCTAATAAATAAATGTAAATAACCTAAACTATAAAAAGGATTTTTGATTTGATAATTGCTAATTAAACACCATGAATTAAATTGAAATTAAAATACTTTTTTTTGTTTTTATATAAAAATGATTAAAATGAATGAAGATTAAAGAAATAAAAATGAAACACACAAATAACAATGATAATAACCAACCTTCCAATTCAACAATGCAATCAATCCTCACTCTAAAAGATACGAGAGTTAAAACAATGAATTTAGAATTATAATTAAGCTTTTAATCCAACAACCGAACCATCTCAAATTGCCACAAAATATTTTCCTAAAATCCCAACTTACTAACTGCAACCAGAATAGTAAAATGGGATAAAGGATGCTAAAACCCAGTGCTTAATTAAAACTCTTAAATCCAAAATAACAGAATTAAAGTTAGTAAGAGACAATATAATCCAAGATTCCAAGCCACCTTAGAAAATCACAATATATTAACTCCAAAATTAATATAAATGTCATAACCACAACATCATAATTGAAATCAAAGCTACAAACAGCCTAGTATCAAATACTAAACAATAATCCAGCCACAATAATCTCCAAATATAATTAGATTTAACAATAAAAATTTTTCAATAATCAGAATAACTATCCTAAGACTTAGGAATTGTTAAACAATTATTGGATAGGAAATTAAAGTAACTAAACTCCCCTTTGATGATCTGAGCTCCTGCCATTGTTATTGAATTAGAGAATTACAGCCTTAGCCACGGATTGCCATGAAAAATGCCATAAATAATGCTCTGCTACAGGTTTCCATGGAGAACACGGTGAAGATATCAAAGACAGCAACAGAACAGTACACACAGTGAAGACTAGTCCTTCATTCTATCTCTGTTCGTTGATGCTGAGAAGGAGAAGAAGAAGATGATGGATTGAGCCGAAGGGAGGTTCTGCCACACTGTCCTTCTCGCTCTCTCTTGCGCCTCTGTTCAACTCCCTCCCTCTCTATTCGCTCCAGGTCCCTCATTCTTGCTCTGCCGTCAGCTCTGCATGTGTGTCTCTATCTCCCTCTCCACGCCGCTCTCCTCTTGTCCCCAATATGAAGATGATGATTTGAATAGTAGGTTATTAGGGCGTTTTGCTCCCTTTTTTTTTAATTATATTTTTTTCTTTTTTTATTTTCATTTTCTTTTTTTTATTTTCACTTTTATTTTTAAATCTTCCAAAAACCTGCAAACAAAATTTAAGAATAAGGTAGCATTAATTGTCCTTAAAAATCAATTAATCATAATTAAATCAAAATATGACAATTTTGCCCCTATAAAATAATAATTCAAAATAAAACATATGAAATCAATTAAGGTCAAAAAGGGACCAATTAAGTTGAAAAAACCCATATAAAAGATATCAAAATATATAAAAATAATTGAGTTTGTTAAGTACCCTCTGGACAACTTCCGCTTTGGTGCCATAGATGAACGATTGGCCTTGATTTTGAAGATATTTCATTACTCACTTCAAGTATATTATCTTGTGGTTGAAAATTTGGCCTCATCTTCATCCAAACATGAAATCATCAATCGGATTGAGTTTTTTTTTATCGAGAGTCTAAAGTTATACATATCTATATGAAGCAATCAAGCAAAGTGTTTCACCTTAATCTTGTGATTTTTGAGTTTTGGATGATTAAAAGCTGGCTGACTTAGAATAGAGACACAATCAATAATATCTTCATCAGGACTCTGGACTAAGAAAAATAAATTGTTTACATAAACTACCATAAATACTAAAACTTACCAATAATTTTCTTCACTGTTTCAAACATAATGGGAATGAGAAACCAGGAGATGAATTACATACCTTAATGGACTTAGCAGCTGGTTTATTCAACTTCTTCAAAAGTTTATCAA